TTTTTAGCAATTCTGCGTTCCTCACTAGAACAATGAATATTCCGACCCATCTACATATGATATTGATTTTTTTTTTTTTTTACTTATAACATCTCTATGAAGACTACTTAATATTTTATAACAATAAAAGACGTTTTTCTTTGGTTAAAATTTTTTTCCAGACTGAAGAGATCGAGTGTACCTATTATTTTCAGCAAGCTCTTTTCAATGAATTGTGACTACAAAAAATTTACGGGAAAATACAAAAATTTTTTTGGCATGCATCATATTGCCAGATGGTTTCCTTAAAGTTACCATCAAATTTTTTTCAAAAATATCAAAAATTAATTAGTTATGACAGAATTTCTAAAAAAAAATTTGGTGTATCTATTATTTTCATCATGAGTGTATATGACCGCAACTGTAGATGATAATCAATCAAATCATAATCATAGACATATGACATATAGTTTCATCAGCCGAATGAATAATTATGATGATAAAAAAGAAAAGAAAAGAAAAGATTTGAAATTTATTTTTAACTACAGCTTAAAAGCTCAATCTAATTCATCTGACCTCATGGGTATTCCCATTTTCTCTCTTCTTCTCTTTTTAGCCTCTTAAATTCCACTAATCATTTATTACAATTACTGTGAACAACAATCGATCGTGTGTGTGCGGTATCTCTGTGAGTGTATCAGTGCTGGTGCGTGCGTGTGTGTGTGTTAACAGGGCCAAAGAGCCGACAAATATTCAAAATGAAATCATTTCAAAGTGAATGAGTGAGCAAAAATAATAACACTGAAATAACGAAACAACAACGAGAAGAAGAAGAACGACAACACTATTAATTATTTAAATATGAAAATTTGGATTACAACAAAACATCAACATCAACAACATAATCATCAACGACAACAACAACAAGTGGAAGAGCTATGAGACATCCCAACTGGAGGACAACATAAAGACGAATCAAGGATTGTTGTGGTGAGTACAATTAAAGAAGGAAGAAGGAAGAGAAAGAGAGAAATAGACAGAGAAGGTGACATAGAAAAACATAGCTAGTGAGATGGAGATGGGGAGATAGAGGAAAAAGCAGATGGAGAGTGAGTGAAGAATGGAGAGATAGAAGGATTGAGATTGGGAGGAAGATGGGGAGATAAGGCAAAAAGACAATGTTTCGGGAAAAGACAGTGAGAGAGAAAGAGAGAATGTAAAGATAAATAAGAGACAAAGTAAAAGTGAGAGAGATGGAGAGATCGAAAGAAAAACAATATGTGATAATATAGAAAAAAAATAGTATAGTATATATAGTATATATGCATTTGTAGCCAGATATTCAGTCAGATCAGTCTTAATTGTATAGCAAAAATGTTGTCCCTCAATAGAAATGTACATATGTTTATTTTAATGTGTTTCGAAACAGTTATTTGAGACTTTTATGGGAGTTTATGCATTTAAATGTGGGCTATAAATATATTCCGCTGCTGCTACTGCTTCTTCTTGCTTTTGTTGCTCGTGGCGTATTGTGTTTTATCCTTTTGTTGAATAATCCGATTTAAGATTTAATTAAATAGCAGAGTTGCTTTATCTCTCTCTCTCTCTCGCTCTCTCTTTGTCTTTGTCGCTTTCTGTTTGTCTGTCGCTGTGCGCAATACATATTACATATTAGATTACGTGCAACAAGCATTTTAATTGTATTTGTTGCCTAATGAAATCACCGCATCATTTAAAAGCTTTTCCACTCGCACAGACAAGAAACGAAACAGTATGGGAAAGATGAAAGGGATATCGAATGGGAGGGAGAGGGCACAGGTTTCTACTGCCCTTTTCTCTCTGTTTATCTGTCTGTCTGGCCATTCTGGTACAGTTGTTATCATTAATCATGGCATAAAGCGTCTGACATTTAACATTTCGCAGAACTGAGCTGACCCAATCTGTGGGATCTTACCACACTTGAACACTTCTCGACTATCTGTGGCCATGATTGATGTCAATCTGTTTGATGCGGCTGTGTTCTGATGTCTGATTGATGTCTGGCCCCAGGCGCTACCAAAATTGGTTAATTGCGATTAGCCAATCTGTGAGATAATCTAAAATGCAACATGTTCGATGCGAAAGCGTCAATTCTGAGTTCCCACTGCACAGTTACCAGTTCTCAGTTCCCAGTTCCGCAGTTCCGCAGTTCCGTTGCCTGCTCTCACTCTCTCTATCGTCTTCTCTCTTATCAATGTTGTTGCTGGATAACTACAATGACAGAGGGCAGCCAGGCACTGAGCACATTTGGGTGAATTCTATGTAGCCGCAAAGCCACCCAACACACATACTAACAAACACATGGACACACACACACACACACAAGCACACATCCTAACCCCTAGCTGCGTCTATTTCACAGGCATCCTCTGCAGCCATGTCATAGCATGCCATGCATTTGTATGTATGTATGTGCATAAATATATGTATGTGTGTATGTTTATGTTTGTATTTGTGCACTTGCTCCAACTGCTGTCAGAGCTGGGACAGATGCTGCCTGCCTGCCTGGCTGGCTGGCTGTGCTGCTGTGCTACTTGCACTGCGTGCGACGTCTCTGCTCTATCCCGAAGCCCGCTTTGAGTTTTGAGTGGGCAGGAGCAGCAGCAGCAGCAGCAGCAGCAGCAGCAGTGGCATCGGCATCGGCAGGCGACAGCGAAGGCAACAGCGGCTTTGGTCTGTTGCAAATGGCAAATACGTCAATGCCTTCCCGCCATTCCCCTATTCCACCATTCCGCTCTCTGGCCGACGCTGCCTGCTGCATTGCTCATTCTCTTTTCCATTTGTGTTTGCCTCTGCTGCCTGCCGTCTGTTCATCTGTGTGTACGTTCGCTTGCTCTCTCTCGCTCTCTCTGTCATCTTCCTCTCTCACTCTAATTTATCAGGTCGTGTGCGCGGGTGCCCGTTCCACTTCGCCTGTCTTTCCCATGCATTCCACCTCCTGGCTGCAGTAGCAGTCGTAGCAGCAGCAGCAGCAGCAGCAGTAACAAAAACAACTACCACAAATACAACAACTATTTCACCGTTACATAAATACCCAACTACAGCAACAACAGCCGCAGCAACAACTGCAAGCTGCTGCTGGCTGCATAAATTCATTTGTTTGCTGTTGTTTTTGTTGTTATTGTTATTACAAGCGCTGCCAGCGTCGCTGCTGTCACTGTCACCGTTGCTTTTGCTTTTGCTTTTGCCTTTACCGTTGCCTTTTCCCCTTTCGGCGCTGGCGTCGTTGCCATTTTCAATTTTAGTTTTGCCCGTGCGCCTTCGTTCGGCTTGGGTTCGTTACTGCCAACTTCCACTCCTTTGCTTTGGCCGCTCACTCACGCCACCCACTCCGTTCGCCTCCCATTCGTTGTTCTGCCACCCACGCAACGTGTGTCCTTGCGCGCTCGTTTCCTGTGTGCGCTCGCTCGCTTTTAGCCAGGCCAAGCCAAGCCACGCCAAACTGTGCGACAGCCCATGGCTCTGGCTGGGACTTGGTCTGACTCTGTCTCTGACCCGACCCATTGTCCCGGCTGAGCTGCCCCGTATGCCGCATGCCCTCAACTTCTTGCTCTGCCTCTCCCCCTTCTGCTGTTCCACCTAGCCTTAGCTCGGCTCAACCATCCCGTTTCGGTTCAGAGTTTACATTTTATGTATGTTTGTGCAAGTGCCTGTGTGTGGGTGTCAGTATGTATATATATATATATATGTATACATACATCCACATGTGTGTGTGTGTCTGTGTGTGGCCTTTTTTTACACAATTTCCTTGAGCGCGCACAGCCGACAGACCCAACACCCCCAACGCCCTCAACCATCGGCTGGTTAGCGATATCCTTGATAATAATGTGTACAACACCAAAAAACAAGTGGACGAGCCAACATCTTCTGCACCCCCGCCCACGCCGCTGCCTTCGCCTGCCCTCCACCTTCACTTCTACTTCCACTTCCACCTCCATCTCCACCTCCGACCCCTTTCACGTTCCACTTACTCGCTGGGCATTCCAGCTGTACTGAAATCCATTTTATTTTATTCCGGTTCTGTTTGCTGCTCCTCTGCGTTCCATACCCGCCCCGTCGCTCGCTTCACACACTTTGTTTGTGTGCAGCACGAAAGTCGCAGCAGAATTAGCGCCCGTTAGAGTACAGTAAATATAACTAAAGAAGAATGAAACAACACAATATTAATTAATAATTTTTAGGTTTACCTTGAAATCTAATTTAATAAATAAAATATGTTAATATATGTTTGTATCAATAAACAAGTTAAAAATGCTGTCAGTTTACGCTAGACCTATTTCACTGTTTTAACATCGATTTGTAATGTGATACATACAAATATACATATATGTACATACACATAAACAATAATATGCATACATATATGACAAAAAAAATAAAATGTCGAATATGCTGTTCTGTTGGTTCGGCCGCATTTCACTGTTGTCATAAATGCAGCAAGCTTAATGCCAAATTCTTTGAATTTCAACTAACAAATTAAATGTACATACATATTTTAATGTACTTAAGAAATTGTGAAGGTGATAAATGAATTTAATTTGTTTATTGCTCTAATCAAATGTGGAACAAATTTGAAATGTCTAGCGCGAGAGTGAGAGCGAAGCGAGAGAGGAATGGGACGGGGGAAATGGCACATAGAAATTGAAAGAGGGCAAAGCTGTTTGATGTTATTGCTGTGGTGTACTTGTTGCTGCAGTCGCCATCGTCGTCGCCGTCACCGTCGCAGTTGCAGTCTGGATACAAACGGTGCAGAAATGGGGCATAAGACAGAAGACCAAACGAGTGAACAAATGAAGATCGCGACGACGGTGACGGCGATGGCAAGTTCTCTTATACTCTGTGCGTCTCTGTCTGTTGCTCGTTGCTTGCTGAGTCAATAACCTCGCACCGAAGGAGAAGAAGAACAAGAAGAAGAAGCGGCAGCAGCAGCAGCAGCAGCAACAGCCACAGCAACCAACAAGCATGCGAACAAGAGGTATAAGCCCTCTCTACTCCAGTCGCTCTCAGCAAGAGTCGACGTGAGTAATGAGAAAAGGCAAAGTCAAAGTGAACTGAAAATTGTCGGAGCGTTATAAAGCCGCCAACAATCAAATGAAGGCGTGACGCGACGCATGGTAGGCAACAGCAACAGCAGCAGCAGTGACGGCGGTGGCGGCGGCAGCAAGAACAACAACGACGTGTTCCTAAATCTAAATCCCCGCCCCAAGAATGCCAGCAAAATTACAAATGCATACATACGAACATGGGTATATACATACATACGTAGGTGTAGATATGTGTGTATTCGTGGGAGCGTGTTTGACTGTATGTCGAGTCAAAGATGATCAGCGAATGCGCGGACAAGTGAACATAAATAAATAAAAATGTGTGTATTTAGGCATGTGTGCATGTGTGCCGAAAGCGCCACGGTTGGAATTGAAACGCGCCAAAAGGGACGAGAGCAGCCAATAATCAAAGCGACCCGCACACACTCATACATATAGTCACCATTTATACACTCATACCCACTCAAAGCTCTCCTGCCTTACATACACACATACATACATACATATATACGTGTATGTGCATGTTACGTATGCATGTTGCACTCAAATTGTTTCATTCCAGGAACATTAAGTCTTCTATGACGTTAACCCACAATTTGCATTCATACGCAAATAAAAACAAACAATTTAATTAAATAACTTCGTTTATGCAAACACAACAAACTTCGAATTCTTGTTAAGGTTTCGATGTGTGGAAAATTCGTTTAATTCGATTGAGGTTTAATGGGGGCAAGATATTTGCATGGAAGCGAATATTGTATCAGCATATTTAATAGGAAATCAACAAAATTATTATAGAAGGCAGCTGCGGCGACGATATTGTTCTTGTTGCTGCTGTTTTGTTGTATGTATGTATACATGTATAAAATGTACAAAAGCAGCGGCGGCATTTGGCAAAGATACACAAAAAGCACACATACATACATACATACATATTCACTCACTTGCACACACAAACACACACACATACACACGCTTAAAAAGCGACTGACGGCTGCCAATTGAGCTAGAGATAATCAAGAGCACAAAAAGAAACAACAACAACAACAACAGCACAAGAAAAACTCGTGTGAGTTAGCAAAGTAAACGGTAAATGGGAAAGGGAGGGAAGTGCGAGAGGGAACAGAATGAGTATCGACGGGCAGTGACGCCAGCAGCGGCGTCGTCGTCGGAGCACAATAAAAAGAATTTCGCATTTGTACTGTCAGTCACAAATATTGAAACGACAGCAGGGCAGCAGAGATGGTCGTGGGTCGGTCGGCCGGTCAGACAGTCGGACGGCTAGTCAGTCACTCACTCAGTGGAGTCGAGAGAGTCAGCAGGCATCGTCAGTCATTTGCTATGGTCAAAAAAAAAAAAAAAAAAAATACATACACGTCAAGTTTGCAAAAAAAAAAAAAAGAATAAAATGAAATGAAAAAAAAAAACAAGCCGCCGTCGCTTTGGATGTTACCTCCCCCATGCCCATACGCACGCTCCGCGCACCTTTTCATTGGCAGCGCGTCGACGCCGGCGTCGCGGTTGACGTTGTCGACGGTGACAGCGTCCACGATAAATGCTCGAATCATATTGTTGTTGGCGCGCGCTTGCTCTGCTCACACCCTCACACATACACGCGAACAGACTGGTTCACATACACACATCCCAATACAAATACAAATACAACCTTTTTTGCTGCCGTTGCCGTTGACGACGCTTTGACCCGAGCAAAGGTCCAACTGTGCCAACGGTTGCCGTCATAAAACTTTAACCGAAGTATAAGAAAAGACACAAAACAGCAGAAACAAAAGAAACAGGCGAAGAACGAAGTATTTGCTTTGCAATATTATTTGCTATATGCGTACAATAATTACTCTGGCTCGCGTCTTACAATTTGTTAGTTTAAGCACATACACATACAAGCAAATACACACTCTCTTCATCCTCCGCCGCTTGCTTTGTGAATGATAAGCAGAGGAGACATCTGTCGGTTGTGATGCGTGACAGCAGAAAGCGCAGTAACTTTTATTGAGGCAAGATGGGCAAAAATGCGCTCCACCTTTATTGTGGCACTGTGGTTTGCTAAACGTATGCTCATTAAAATGATTAATTCATAAAATTATGCATTTTCTTTTTAGCAAAAGAAAAAACAACAAAAAATATGTAATTATCAACCACTGTGAAAACGCGTCGCCTTTGCCGTTGCCGCAGTCGACGTCAACGCTGGCGTCGACTTCGGCATCGGTCCATTCATTGCCTCTCACACTCGTGCCATGGCACGAAACGGCTCTCATGTTTCAATTCCACTTGTAACGTACCGAGCGCGATTTTGTTTTCTCACTATTGTCGCTCTCAGTCGCGACGTTATCCCACAGATATTTGGTTTGCTTTTCGCCACAGCTCGTCCGTAAATTATTTCAATTGTGGATTAAATATACAAAATACGGTGAAAAATATAAAAAATATGTGAAATGTATGAGAAAGTATGCCAAATGCATTCTATGTGCCAATTTTCAAGTAAGCATCTGTGCAAAGTGGATGCATCTCTTTTTTTTTTATCAAAAAGCCGACAGACTATCTGTGTCTCAGTCAACGCTTAGTCAGCGGCGTCGGCAGCGCGGTGACGTCGTCGGCAGAGGCAGCATTCATATGCAGAATGTGTGAAATGCAAATGCAAGCAAAACTTTATGAATGAAATGTATAAAGAGAAACCAAACACATGTATGTAAAATAATAACAAAAAGGAAAAGTAGAAAATACAGCTACCAAATGTACTCATTAAAAACGTCTCTAAGTAAATCGAACGGCATTTTCTTTTTCGCCTTGTGTATGCATCGTTCGCCGCTGCGGCTTCTGTATGCGCCTGTAGGACCTTAGGCTATATACATATGTATATATATCTATGTGTGTATGTGTGTAGTGTGTGGGTTTTGTATAATTTTAATTAATCAAAATATTTGTGTTTTGTGATTTGCACAATTGAATAAATTCCGAACATGAATTAGTTCGTTTTTCAGTCGATTTAAAATGCAATTTATACGTTTATTTGTGTTCGCCGCATTTTTTCTGCTACGCCGTGTGTGAGTTGCGCGCTGCGCGACGCTGTTAATTCGCTGTGTTTCTGTTTGCCCCTGTATGCAGGTGTAGTGGTGAGTGAGTGAGTGAGTATGCCGCACAGAGACGCCGTTCTGTTCTTACTCTCTCACATTGCTCTCGCGCACACAATTACAACAACAGCACGACCGCTGCCCGTTTCCGTTCGTTTTATGTGTGGAAGTTGTGTGTGTAGTTTTTTTTTGTAGTTTTGTTTTGCTTTTCATGTTCCTCGTGTTTTCTCTTTGTGTTCGACGTTCGCATAGCTACCGCTACGATAGCGTTGCCAGCATTGAGAGCGAAAGCAAAATTGAAAGAGCGGCGAATTAAGCGAGAGTTGAAGAGAGTTCATGTGCTATAACTGTAATTTCAATAATATGCTAACTATTTTTTTTTGCATTCCCTCTATCTCTATCCATTTGCAGGCAGTGACAAGCACAACAATAACAAAAATAATAACAATAACAAAAAGGAAAACAAACAACAAAAACTTTGAACTTTAACATGAACAAAAATGCCGGCGATGGCAGCGGCAACGATGGCAAAAACTCAAATAATCACGGTGGAAAAGGGGGCTCCGGGGCGGGTGGCGGCGCAGGGGCTGGCAATCCCCATGATCCCACCGGACTGTTAGATGCGGCATCGCTGTTCGGTATGTAATCTAGAAATAATTAAAATACATTTAGATATAGGATTTCATAATTTCCATTTATTTATTGTTTTTCTTGCCTACAGCCTATTGGGGCCGCGATCCAACTGGCGCTGCAGCTGCGGCTGCCTCAAACCCGCTCTTCAACTCGCAGTTCAATGCAGCCGCTGCCGCCGGCTTGGGCCTGTTGCCAAATGCTGCGGGCGCAGCAGCAGCCGCTGCCAACGACCGTTATTCATCGATGGCCGCAGCAGCAGCGGCAGCTGCCGGCGCCCACCATCATCAGAACACAATGGCCGTCGCGGCCTCGCAGGCAGCCAGCCTAGCGGGCCTGCATCCAGCAAGTGAGTAAAATGTCGGCATCGACACTCGTCCACATTAATTAGCATACGAAAAGTGAGGCAAAGCAAAGAAACCAAGAGAAGAGTAAAAGAAGCCGCTATGCTACACGCGACGCCGCAGCTGTGGTGGCGCTGCCCGCTAAAATGCTGAAACGGATAGAATTGATACAGAGAGAACTCAGAGAAAAGCGCCGCAGGTTCAAATCTTGTCGGAGTCAAAGCGGAAATAATATGAGGGAGAGAGACAGAAAGAGAGCTTTTGTTTTTATATGGGAGTGCAACAGCAAGTGTTTCGTCCTTTGTGCGCGATTCACTTGAAGAAAACGCTCCTAGAGGAAAACTGTCTATTTATTGCTTTACGCTTGTTGACTGAGGCTTTCAATAGTTATTGGTCCTCAAGTGATGAACGGGCAAACAATTATTTTGTTTTATTATATTTAATTTACTTATTTGAAATCTATTCCAAAAAAAGAATAATACAAACTTATATTTGTTGTAGAAATTAATATTAAAATTTAACAAATCTAGCAAAAATAACATTTTCATTTTTAATATATGTTCATTTATTGTAGTGGATTTTATTTAGGAAAATATTTTAGTTTGATTTAAGTGATATTAATATTTAATTTATGAAATAATAATAATAACAATTTTAAAATAATATTTCTAGTTAATTAGAAAAAAAAAACTTAAAAAATATTTAGATAATAATTATATTAATATTTTATTTATTGATTATTTTGATTAACTTTGAATTTAAAAGTTTTATTTCAGTGTTGCTGAAGATTATTTTATATTTGATATAAGTATTCCTCAAAATTAATTTATATCTTATCTTGTGTATTGATTATTATGATTATTAGACTAAAATATAATTAAGTATTTTAGATATCTAAAGATTGTATTTACTTATATTATAATTCTTTGTTTCCTCTTATAGGTTGGTGGTCCATGGCTCAGTTGGCAGCGCAGGATTATTTCAGTCGTCTGCAGGCATCGGGCCTCTCGCCATTTCCCCATCCCGATCTGGCCGCTGCCTTTGGGCCCGCTGCCATGGCAATGGGCGGCGGTGGCAGTGGCTCTAGCGGTGGTGCAGGCGGCGGTGGGGGCATGGTGGGCGTTGGCGGCGGTGGAGGTGGCGGCTCTGGCGGTGGCAGCAGCTCCAGCAGTAAGTCGAACAAATCGCGCAAAGAGAAGCGCGCCGCTCAGCAGCAGCAGCAGCAGCAACAACAACAGCAGCAGCAACAAAATCTGGCCAACAGTTTGAATGCCGCAGCGGCAGCCGCGGCCGCAGCAGCTGCGAACAATCCAGCCGCAGCACTGGCCAGCATGCATGGCTTTGGACTGCCCGGCACCAGCATGCCGTCCTCGGGCAGCAGCTCCTCAATATCAACAAGCAGCGCCGGACACGGTGGCTATAAGGTGGGTGGAATGTGACGAGACGGGAGAATGAAGCATGAGAATTAAAGAGGGACAAGTGAAGGGATTAAAGTGAAGATAATTTAAGGAATATTGAATAGTTACTCCACACGTAGTCAAGCCTTGAAATATATATATATGTGTGTGAAACGTGGAAATGGAGCTGTGAAGAGTGAAAACAGAGTGTAGAGAGCGAAAGTGCGAGAGTGAAATGGAGATAATTTAAGGGTATATGGAAGGATTTCTAAGAGCTTATACGGATGAACATTATGACAACTTCAAAAGTTTTTAAGATTTATCGTAGAAGTTCAAGTAAATCATATAAATATAATGTAACAGTAAAGTGATAAGTGAAGAGTTAGCCATAATTGTTCTCTAGATAGATCCAGCTATGCTATAATCCTTAGTTTAGCCTTTCTCAAAACTTAAAATCCCAAATATATTTTGCAATTTTATAGAGTACTGCCAGCGCGTATGGAAAGCCCTCGACGATGACCAGCAGCGGCAGCGGAAGCAGTATTGCAAGCAATCCCGGCTCTGCATACGATCCGGTCACCCTGCACAAGGAGCTGTTGGCCATGCAGGCCGTTGCAGCGGCTGCCTCGGGCTCTGGAGTGGGCGGCATGTCGGGCTTGGGCAGTGGGGGCAGCTCCAACAGTTCCTCCGGCAAGAAGTCCAGCAGCGGCGCTGTTGGAGGCGGCGGTGGCGGCGGCAATTCGTCGCTGCATGCTCATGGCTTATCGAATCTGGCGATGAGCCTCGGCGCCGGCAGCAGCAGCGGTGGAGGCGGTGGCAGTGGTGGCGGCATCATGTCCAGCAGCAAAGCTTCCACCAATGTCAGCTCCAGCTCGAGTGGTGGCGCCTCGTTGGGCAGCATGCATCCGGGCCTGGCAATGTCGCCGCACGGCAACATGTCGGGCAGCGGCATGGGCAGCTCTGGCAAGGATCGGGATCGCGATAAGAACAATCCGTCGCTGAATGCGCTCAACTCGCTGTCACAATTCGGAGCACTTGGCATGACGCCCCAGCAGAGCATGCAGGCGGCGATGAATGCCTTTGCCGCAAGCACTGGGGCCAACGCCACGGTCACCTCGTCGGCCCACTCGTCCCAGCAGCAGCAGCAGCAGGTGCCCAGCACAACGATGGCCGGCGGCAGCGCAGGCAAGGTGAAGGACTATATGAGTAATGCGGCCATGATGAGCAGGTAAGATCGAGCATTAAATTGGTTTGATAAAGTCCATTTTGGTATTAATGGCATTTGCTTTGCAGCAGCAGCGAGCATCCGTCGCTGTTGGGCGTGAGACTGCCGCCGGATACGGAGATTATTAAGTACACGTCCTCCATCGTGGGCCCCAAGATTCCTGGTAGTACTTCACGCGGTCGCAAGAAGACCATATCTGAAACAGAACAACAACAACAACAGCAACAACAAGCCACACAGAAACAACAACACCAAGCAGAACAACAACAACAACAGCAACACCTTACACAACAACAACAACAGCAGCAGAAGGATTTAGAAAGCACAACAAATGCAATTTCCTCTCTGCTTGCATTTCCAGGGCTCAGTCCAGCAAAGCGTGCCCGACTCGAAATGGAGTACGCAGCCATGGCGGCGGCGGCGCAGCAACAACAGCATCTGCACGGCATGCTGGGCGCGGCCGGCATGCCCATGGGCCTAGGCATGACGCCCATGGAGCAGCTGAGCAGCGTCTCGAAGGCAGTTGTGTCGGCCGCATCGTCCTCCTCGACGGTGACCAGCACCGCTGGCGGCTCTACCTCGGGCCACAGCCAGAGCCACAGTCACAACCAGAATGCGTCCAGCGATCGCGTGGAGGTGATCAAGTTGCCACCGACCATCACCTCCAACGGCGCATACAATCTGTCCAGCAAGGGATGCGGCAAGGAGCTGCACGACTTGACCGGGGATCCGGCTCTCGCCTCTGGCGTCAATCTCAGCCTCAAGTCGAGCGGCGCGCCCGCCAGCGGTGCCATTGGCTCGGCTTCCAATCCCATTACCATAGACGACTTCGATGCTCCGCTTAATCTGTCCATGAAGCCCTCGGACAAGAGCAGCGGCAACAATGCGAATTCGACAGGAGGCGCATCCTCTGCTGCCTCCTCTTCAACGGCCTCGGCGGCGTTGGGCAATCTAGCCAGCGATTATCAGACAGGCCAGAGCAGCACCGGCAACGGATCGAACAGCTTGCAGAGCCTGAGCTCCATAACAGCCGCCTTGGGTGGCACCGGTGGCATGCCCGGCGGTTCCATCTCTGGCAGTGGCAGTGGGGCAGGTGGTGCATCGCCTTCGCCGGCGCAGAGCAGCTTGCCCGCCGCTTCGGGCACGTCTGGCTCGTCCGGATCCGGATCGGGCTCATCGACCTATAAGGAGGGACGGCCACGCAATCTGGGTCGCGGCGTATCGAAGCCCAAGAAGAACACGGTGGCCTCGCTGCTGGCCCAATCGCGTGCCGTCGGACTCAAGCCCATGCTTGCCACACAGCAGCTGCTGCAGCAGGGCGCGGACATTGTAAGATCACTTGTCTCTGCTTAAGAGTTTCGATTAACGGTTTCCTTCCTTGCAGGAGAAGATCCGCTTGGCGCTGAGCGAGGCGAACGCGCACATGGAAACGTCGACAGACTCGGAGAGTGTTGCCGCCGAGAGCGGCATGTCGGAGTCGGAGAGTGAGGATGCGAACATATTGAATGTGGCGGAGCTGCGCGTGCCATTGGAGCTGGGCTGGAAGCGAGAAACAGTCATACGTGGCCTGACCAAGCAGGGCCAGATCCGCGGCGAAGTCACCTACTATGCCCCGGGCAGCACCCTGCCCCTGAAGACCATTGGCCAAGTGTTTGCTGTGAGTTTGTAGGGCGCGTTTGTAATTTGTAATACGTGACACACACTCGTACACATTTACAAAAGAGAGAGAGAGCGAACATCTCTTCATTTGTGACTGAATTAACATATATTTCCTCCTCTCCCCTTCTTTCTTTGCCTCGGTGCAGCTCTTGGATCAGCAGCCATCGAATCTGACGCGCGAAAACTTTAGCTTCTCGGCGCGTGCGATTGTCGGTTCGTTCCTGCAGCCGGCGCCGGCGCCCTATGCCAATGATGGCGAATACATACGCATGACGGACGAGGATGTGGCCAAGCGGCTGGAGGATCTGAAAGTGTTCACGCGCCAGACGCTCAACGTGGAGCAGCGCATCGAGATTGCCAAGCAGCAGCAGGCAATGCGCGACGCCAAGAAGCAACAGAAGGAGGAGCTGGCACGCAACAAGGAGAAGGCGCGGCAGGAGAAGAATGCCAAGCTGGAGCAGCAGCGCAAAGAGAAGGAGCTCAAGAACCAACAAGCCATTGAGGTAAGTCGCTCGAATAGTCCTAATTCCAAATAAATGCTCAATTACTAATATTGATTCAAATTTGCAGGAGCGCAAGAAGCGTCAAGAGGAACTGGATCGTCTCAAGCAGGAGGAGTTGCTCAAGAAGCAGCAGGTTAGTTATATTTCGTATTTATGCATTCGCTGTCATGCATAGTTTCCCTTACAAATTGCATTTTCTTTGTAATATTTAGGAGAAAGAGAAGCGACGTCAGGAAGCAATTCTAGCTAAGGAACAGGTACAACAACAACAACAACAATTATTGAACATATTTGTTACTATCTGTGTATCCTGTAATCCTTTTTATTTCACATACTCTGTGCTTGCGTTTGTTGTCGATATAAATTATAATGTTATCCGATTTGGAATTAGCTTCCTTAAAGCTAAATTTCAAATTTAAGTTCCTTATGTTGCTACTCTCTATTTTGTTTTAAAGATCATTTAAGTAAAGGGAATGTATTTGATTCACAGTATATATGCGTGCCCAAATAGGGTATATCCTTTAGTTTCCTATATAGTTCTTCAAAAATCAATTAATGCATAATATTGATATTAAAGTCAATTTTGTATGAATCGAATTTTCATGTTACACATTTGAATATCTTTTGTTATCTATCAGCTTTTTATATTTTACTTGAGATTGCTTAGTCTTTGTCTAGCGGTAGAGTTGGTTTCTCTGCTTTATTTCGATTCTATTAAAATTATATCAAATCTGATATTTTGTTGAGTCTTTAGTGAATGCAATCTTATCATATTTGATGGCTTAATCACTTCAACTTACTTCGCTATATTTCGCATTAGTTTTTACCATATGTTTTCTATCCCTTCAATTTCATTGTTTATCGAATTGACCTGACTTCCAGCTTAAGCTGAGTTGAAACCTAATTAATTTGCAGCCTATTTCCTCATCTTTAGTTATTAGCTCTTACTTTCTGACTATAGCGCTTCGTTTAGTTTCCATTTGAGCTCGAATTCATTCAAATATTACTTTGCATTACTCATCTATTCCTTCTCTTCCCGCAACAGGAACTTCAGAAGCAAAAGGAGCTGCTGCTAGCTGCCGAAATGGTAAATAAATGCGAATTTTACTTGCATAGTGAAATATTTAAGATCTTTCTTAATTGGTTTTTAGGAGCGCGAACGTCGTCGTCAGCACATGAATCTGATTCGCATGCTGGAGGTGCGGCGCAAGTTCGAGGAGCGGGAGAAAAAGAAGCACCAGCTGGTGTTGGATCGCCTGATACTGCGCGAGCGTCGCATGGCTGAGCGCAAGCGGGATGCTGAGATTTTGCAGCTAATACGCAAACCGAGCGAGGACTCGGAGCTGCCGCAGGAGCTGTCTGTGCCGGAACTGGAGCGCATCGCGGGCAATCGGTTGCCTGGACAGGCGATGGCCGATCTGCTGATGGTGTTTGAGTTCTTGCACAACTTTGGCGAGACGCTGGGCTTTGACATGGAGTCGCTGCCATCGCTGCAGAATCTGCACGACGCGCTGATCAGCGACAGCAACGCCGACGCCGAGGAGGAGCTGTTGTCGGTGATGACGCACTTGCTGGTCTGTGCCATCGAGGATCCGGGCGTGCCCAATCCGGGCCGCCATACAACGCTGCTGGGCCAGTCGCTGCGCAACGCGGACATAACCAATTCGAATGTATCAGAAATTCTGCGCATCTATCTGTACGCCACGGCCACCGGCGAGATACGACAGATGCACGGTATCACAGTGGACAGGGAGCGCGAGCGCCGAGTGCCCGACCATCATCAGGTGGATGCGGACACGGCCACGCACTCGGCCAAGAATCACGAGTACTACAAGCTGCTGCACGAGAACGACACCTGGAAGCTGTCGCATGCGCTCAAGGATCGTCCCTTCGTGGCGCTCAATCCGACGCGCAAGGCGCAGATGCTGGCGCACCTGTGCAACGACCTGCTGATGAACAAGGCCGTGCTGCGGCAGATCGACGGCAGTTTGGAGACCTGCGCCCAGATGCGCAAGGAGAAGTACATGACTGACATGAAGGTGCGCAAGTACAAGGCGCTGCACCAGCGCAAGGCGCGCATCGAGGCGTATGAGAAGGCGCAGGCGGAGCGCGAGGCGGCCATGCAGGCGCTGCTGGCTCAACAGAAGCTCGATGCGGAGCGGGAGCGCGAACGGCTCGCTAAGCAAGCGGAGGCCGAGGCCGAAGCGGAGGCCAACAAGCAGGCAACGGCTGAGTCCTCGGCCGATGGAACAGCCGCTGCAACTCCGAGTGCCGCGGAGGGCAGTGCTGCGGGCGTCGACTGCAACAGCGAGGATAAATCGCAGGAGGATCAGGACAAACAGGAGGAGCAGCAACAACAGCAATCACCAGAGGCGGAACAACAATCACAGCCCATGGACTTGGATGGCGATGCAGCAGTTCCAATTGCAACCAACAACGATGCTGTGGCATCTCAGGGCGCTGCCTCCATGGTCGAGGTGAGCCCGTCGAAGCAGCTGGCCAAGTTGGAGGAGTATCAGCAAAATGGCGGCACAGCCGGAGTCGGTGGTGCGGTGGCGGATGGTGGAATGTCGGCCATGCTGCAGGCAAAGAAGAGCGGCGCACGCAATTCCATCAATGAGGATGGGCACACGCAGAGCCACGATGTGAGCATCATCGAGGATGACCTCTCCGACTTGGACTCGGAGATCACCAATGTGGAGGAGGACGAGGACAATCGCCTGAGTGCGGACGAGCTGCAAAAGAAGCTGGACAAAATTGTGCGCGCCTCGCTCAACTGCAAGGAGGCGCTGGAGAAGAGCACCAATCAGCTGCGCGCCGCCTGCTTTGGCCAGGATCGGTTCTGGCGACGCTACTGGAAGCTGCCAAAGGCCGGCGGCATATTCATCGAAGCTCTGGAGTCGGCCCAGAACGAGATTTGCGACTATCACGAGGCACTGGAGGCCATGGACGAGCAGCAGCAGAAGCAGAAGCCAGTCGAGCCGGCAGCCGATGCAACGGAACAGATGGCCGTTGATGATGGCGCTGCGTCCGAGGAAACGCCCGAAGCTGAAGCAGATGCGCCACCAGCAGCAGCAGCAGCAGCAGCAGGAGTAGCAGGAGCAGCAACAGTTGATGCAACTGCAGCAGAGTCCATGGAAGTTGATGAAGTAACGGAAGTGGACAGCGGCAAGGCGCAGCAAACGAATCATCAGGCGGAGCATGTGGTCGAGGACGACGATGACGATGATGATGTGACGGAGATTAACAAAGTGGAGCCGGAGATTGTCGATCTGGGCGACGACGATGACGATATGCCACCCGCCATTGTGAAGCCCGCCGAGCCAATTGTGACGAGGCCCGAGATTAAGGTCAAGTCGGAGATGGAACTAATGGGACCGCCGCCGACGGTCATCTCCACAAAGACGGACTTTGAGGCCGAGATTAAAATACCCACCATTCCGGGCCTGATACCAACGCTCAGCAACAACAACAACAACGGCAACAGCAATAATAACAACAACAGCAACGGCAACGGCAACTGTGAAAAAATGGAGGCACTCACTCAAGATGATCTGAAGAAGGAGGACGACTGCATCATTGTGTCCACTACACAGGTGGGCGAGGACACCACGCCCCGCTGGTTCTCGATAGTGAAGCGCGAGGTTCCGCTGATCAGCGAGCTGCCCGCGGAGGAGGGCGGCGTGGTGGCCCCAGAGCTGCAGCTGAGCTATGCCAGCTCCCAGAACTGCAGCGCTCAGCTGCAGATGCAGGGACATCCGTGGGATCTGATCAACAACATGCAGTACTATAGCATACCCATGGAGGAGTGCAAGGTGGATCCGAGCAAGTTCAGTCAGGAGTGCATCTTCACGCTCTCAGGGCTGGACGAGAAGCAGATGCAGGCCAAGCTGGATGAGTACGAACAAGCCAAGTTAACGATGTCAAAAAACGGTCTGGCGTCTCCTCATCGTTGCCAGACAACCGATGAGGAGCAGCAGCAGCAACAGCAGCAAGAGAAGCAATCACCGCAACAGCAGCCAATGAGGCTGTCCAAATCCGAATCTGAGTCGGATTCGTTTTTTCGTTTGCGCGCTGATGCCGCACCGGACACAGGGGGCGGGAACGGCGAAGCTGCCGAACTGAAGCCCAAGATTGAGCTGCGTCTGGATGAGGCCCTGTCCCAGGCATACTATCACAACATAGCGAACATGTCGCTGAGCAGCGTGCAGACCTACATACCGATCGACATTCCTCTGCCGCTCTCGATGACGCCGGACGAGCACCGGCTGCTGGAGCAGGTGAAGCTGGCCGGATTCCCGGAGAAGGTGCACGGCGTCTATGTGCCACGCCGGCAGCGCTATGGCTGGTGGCAGCTGGACGACGAGCAGAAGCTGCGCCAGCTGCTAAAGACATTGAATCCATCGGGATTGCGAGAGCGCGAGCTGCAGGAGAATCTAACGCGATTCCTGACTCTAGAGCAGCCATTGGGCATCAACTATCAGCTGAAGCTGAACGACGCCCAGGCTGAGCTGGTGGAGTACATGCTGCCGGATCGGCCGGGTGACTGGAATCCCAAGGTGGCCAGGCGCGTGGAGCTGGCGCTGCTGGAGCAGCTGGAGTCGCTCGAGGATAAGATAGCGAGCGCCTCGATGCAACTGAAGAACTGGCAGTTGCCGACGCGCAGCGACAACGACGTCAGCCTGGCCGAGCAGGAGGACTTGACCGAGGCGGACTTCGTGAGCATCATACCCATGATCAGGGAGCGCATCATCGATCTAGAGGCGAACATTGAGCGACGATATCTGAAGCCTCCGCTTGGCTCGCAGACCGGAGATGCCCACCTGGCGGTCATTGCACAGAATCAGCACACCTCGACGCAGACCCAGAACTCTGCCTCGGCGGCCGCATATCTGCTGCAGATGCAGCAGCAGCAGCAACAGCAGCTGATGGCCCAGCAGCAGCAGCAGCAGAACCAACAGCCCGGCAATAGCCTCAATGCCTCCGCCTTCAATGAGCGTACCATGGCGCTGGCAGCGGCTGCCGCGGCAGCTAATCCAAGCAGCCTTGCCTCCGCCTCCTGCGACCCAGCGGCGGCGGCAACAACAGCTGCAGCAGCAGCAGCCGGAGCAACTACGTCAACAGCATCAGCTGGCAGCGTGGAGCCCTGCTCTGGCGCCGCATCACCAGCGAGCAACTGCGACAGCGACAAGGACGAGAAGGTGGAGAATATACCCAAGGGTTTGGTGCAATGGCGCGATGCTGTCGCCCGATCCCACACCACCGCCCAGCTGGCCATGGCGCTCTATGTGCTGGAGTCCTGCGTGGCCTGGGACAAGAGCATCATGAAGGCGGTAAGTGTTCTTTCATCTTGTTCGTTTCCTCTCTTTATTTTGTGTTTGGCATTTGCTTACCTCTTAGCTTGGCACCCCACTACAATCCACCCAACCCACAGAACCCACAGTCTCCCCACTTGTGTACCCCCATCCCATATCCCAACTAGTGTTTGGCATTCATATATATACTAAATGTTCATATACGCACATCCAAGTACTTGACACTAACTACCCCATAACCAGCGTACACACACACACATACACCCACTCATAATACATCCACACACACTCACACATACACTTATACATGACATGTGCACTAACCATTTTTCACCAGCTTTCGTTTTAATCGTAAACAATTTCTGTAGGATCTTTGTGACCCAAGAGCTTAATTAGAAAACTTGTTTTACATTTATTCTGAATTGACTAAAAAATATTTTATTTTTTATATACATTATTAAGTAGTATGATGATTGATGATGATGATTTGAGGCTTTCAAGAAAGCTAACTTTAAAGAAAGTTTTACATACATATATAGGAGAAAAATAGATAAAATAGTAATATATATATTTATATATGTATATGAGTATATGTACATATATTCCGCTGTATGCATAGTGGAGTCCAGATAATTCGACCAGCTTTTTTAAAAACTACGCAGCTTGTAGATTTGTCCAGGTTTACATTTATAGAGGCACAAAAATAATTATTAAATTTATAGGAGTATTGAAAATAAATATAGAAAATAAGTAATAAAAATATAGATCCTATGAAGCCATTTGAAATTGGATAAATGTAGAAAATCACAGCGCTTAAAGAATTGGAATAGGTTTGCAAATAAAATTACAATTTATAGACTTAAATTTAAATAGGCTTAAATACAGTCATAATATAACTGGGAATAATTATAAATAGGTATAAATTTATATGAATATGAATATAAATGTATGTAAATAATACAAGGTACACTTATAAAAACGTATAAATGTAAATGGGATTAAATATTAGGGTGTGTAAATAGAAATAGAAATAGAATAAAACATAGAAATTAAATATATATAGGCATAAAATATTATTTGCGTTTATTAAGGAAACATCGAATCAATAAGAGAGTAAAAAAATTGAGTTATCAGTTCTTAGAAATGATAGAGATTTTAAATTTAGCTTTAATCAAGTTAAAGCAACTCGGCTGTGAAAGAAAATTAGATATGAAAGAAACGAAAAAGAAAATATATTTTATAGCATTCTTAGGTAATTCTTAGGCAATTTTCTAGCGTAGTTTTTTATTATTTATGGGTCACACACTTAGAAGTTTTCTCCTTATTTCGCATGCTTCTTCTTTATAGAGTTTTGTAGCATTCTATTTCCTTTGCAAGCCCTTTCGTCCTTAATTGAACAAAATTATTGACTGCCTTGAAATTAATTCGATGTTTTTATTGTTTGTTCTGTTTCTTTCTTAACACTTTCGCTGAATGTTTGACTTGTTTGTTGTTTGTGGTGTTCAATGGTGTTCTCTTGTTCAAAAATCAAAAAAACGAATTTAACGCTTTCATACTCACACACACACACACATACATCGCCCACACACCCACTCATACATACCTACATACACACACACACACACATACATTCCAATTCACAACAATATACATGCATACATCCAAATACACATACATACTCACACACATACACACACTCAAACCTACATACGCCATTTGTTTCACAATCGAATGCTTTTGTTGCCATACCCGCTACCGTTATCCGTTAACCCGTTTGCCCGCTGCAACGAACGCAACATTTCCTTCAAACTGTGACTCGAACTGCAACTCGAACTCGAACTCGAACTCGAACTCGAACTCGAACTTGACGTGAACCAACAACAAACAAACGACTGCGTACAAAAGTATGCAATGCCCGCAAAGAACAACAAGTCCAACAAGAAGAAAAGTAACGCCAAAAAGCAGGCAACACCAAAGAAGAAACAACAACAACAACAACAGCAGCAGCAGCAGAAGCAGGAGCAAGCTCCATCAAAAGCCAAACAATCAAAGAAAGAAAAGGAAAAGGAAAGGAAGCAAGCGAAAGCTGCAGCAGCAGCAGCCGCACAGGCCAAATCGAAGCAGGCGGAAGCCGTTAAAGAGGCGACGCCAGCAGCGAAGACTGCACCGATGACCATCAAAATCAACTTGAAGGCTTTGGCACAGAATGGATGCGACCGTGATCGTGACCAGAACAACGCCACACCCAACTCGAACTCCAACTCGAACTCGAACTCCAACTCAGACTCGGACACGGACAGTGACTATTCGAACTCGCATTCGAACGGCAAACGGAAACGACGACGACAAGGACGACGTTCAGGCACTACTACAAACTCTTGCAAATATTCAAACTCCTTACAGAATTGCCAGTTCTGCACCTCGGGCGAGAACGAGGACAAGCTGCTGCTCTGCGATGGCTGCGACAAGGGCTACCACACCTACTGCTTCAAGCCCAAAATGGACAACATACCCGATGGCGACTGGTGAGTACAAAGAAAGCCAACTAAATCCAAGCAAACCAAATCGAGCCGAGCCGTAGTCGAATCTAATCAACTCAAATCGAAATCATTTATCATTCGGTCATACATCCATGCACCCCTCTCTCTCTCTCTCACGCACACATTTGTCGCATTGTTTTGAATCTTGTTTACTTTTGTTTTGTACCACCGAACCAAACCAAATCAATCAATCAACCGCCCATCCGCTCGCCCGCTGTGCCGCGTTCCGCCCCCTCCCAAATTCACCTGCTAACAACTAATAAGATTCTCCTGCTTTACAGGTATTGCTACGAGTGCGTCAACAAGGCGACCAACGAGCGCAAGTGCATCGTCTGCGGCGGCCATCGACCCTCGCCCGTGGGCAAGATGATCTACTGTGATCTGTGCCCGCGCGCCTATCACGCCGACTGCTACATTCCGCCACTGCTGAAGGTGCCGCGTGGCAAGTGGTACTGCCATGGCTGCATCACCCGTGCTCCGCCGCCGAAGAAGCGCAGCGCCGCCAGCAGCGGCGGCAGCAGCAGCAAATCGCGACGGGATCGCGACGCCAGCACCGCAGCCAAGCGACGAGGCAGCGACAAGCAACAACTGCTGGCCTCGGCTGGCAGCATGGAGCAGCTCTGCTCCGTCGACCAGCATCAGCAGCAACAGCAGCAACAACAACAGCAGCAGCAACAGTTGCAGCTGCACAGCTCTCAGCAGTCGCTCAACTCGTCGCACGATGAGTCCATGACATCCTTGCCAGCGCCGCTTAGGTGAGCGACTCTTTCTAATTGTCTAATTGTGAAATAACTGTCGTATCTCATTTCAATTCAATCATCAATGTAAAATGTATTTCAAATGCGCATTACTCTAATCCTGTACATACACACATACGTATATTATATGTATAAAATAAGACATATCCTAAATATATGCACAATATTTCATCTCAAGCACTTTTGTATTCAAATTATTGGTACGCAAAGGAAATTTATGAATGGAAGTTTCTAGCTATACAAAATTATATCAATTTATATATTTTTTAAATTTATATGTATTTGAATAAATTTATATTTTTTATTTAAATATTTAATTTGGATAAATTTATATTCATATAATTTATAATTTATATTTGATTTGATTTGATTTATTATTATGGACATTGGCACAAATAGAGCCGATCAATTAAAATAATTTTATATATATTTTTATATATCGAGCGATCTTTGTTTAATTAGAACTCTGAATTGATAAAATTCCCGTTTATGAATGGAAGTGTTTCTATATATCATAATAATAATATAAATTGATATACATATGAAAAAATGTGTATTATTTTATATATATATATTTCTTTTTTATATATCAAACGATTGATATCAGTAGAGTTGTGAATATTTTCTTGATTTTTTCGCTCATTCCAAATCACTGGTATCTCAAGCCAATCTCTTTAAATTATATTGAGCTTAAGTATATTGGTAAACTGATGAAAAGGTAAACTAATGCAGAGCTCTCCCATTTCACAAAAATAGAGTATATTGCTTGAACTTTATATTTGAGGATCGCTTATCGATATATACTTAATCGTTACATAATCGTTCAGTTGGATTTTAGAGCTATAGAAAGAAAAGTTCAATACGATTAATCTAAGAAATTTTTGGATACAAGCTCTCAAATTCAGCTAGATAAAGTTTCCACTCCACTGCGGACACGCCTTGCCCGATTTAGGCAGAGTCTGCATGGAGTAGCGGAAAATGATCATGTACAGAGGGAAATTAGATATTATGTCCTTTAAATTCATATAGTGCTATAACTTCAACTCTAAAGAGAATTTTGGGTCTGTTCTTCCTTTCGCAGTCCGGCGCATTCGATTGCCTCCGGCACGTACGATGAGCACCACCACAACAACTCCATCGATGCCAGCCGCTTCCAGGCGCACGTCGGCAACAACAATGGCGGCGCGCAGCTGGAGGAGAATGCTTCGTTTGCTGCTGGATATGCAGCGCCGAATAGCTTTGGCGTGGTGCCGACGCAGCAGGCGCAGGGAATGCAGTTTGCGGCCATGTCGCCGCGCGCTGTGACGCCCACACGGACACCGACGCCAACGCTGACGCCGACGCCCACCTCGACGCCTGTGCCAGCGCCAACGCCGCCGCCACCGACGCTGACTGCGCCGCTGCAGCCGCCGACGGCAAATGTGGCGGCACCTGTGCTGATGCAGTCCTCGCCCACGTCGCTGCTGAACGTTGCCTGTCAATCGCCGCCGCAGCAGCAGCAGCAACAGTTGCTGGCTATGCCGTCGCCGAGAACGTGCACACCGACGCCACCGAGTGCTGGGACGCAAATGTCGCCGCCCCCGATTAACATACACGCCATACAAGAGGCCAAGGAGAAGCTGAAGCAGGAGAAGAAGGAGAAGCACGCCACCAAGAAGCTGATCAAGGAGCTGGCCGTCTGCAAGACGCTGCTGGGCGAAATGGAGGTAGGGCAAACAATCTAATCTGGATGCAAATTTGAATTTTAGTTAATTTATTTATCCTTTGACAGCTGCATGAGGACTCCTGGCCGTTCCTGTTGCCAGTGAACACCAAACAGTTTCCCACATATCGCAAGATCATCAAAAGTCCCATGGACCTCTCCACAATCAAGAAGAAACTGCAGGATTTGAGGTGACTAAATGAAATTAACTGTAAATTAACTTTGCTTACTAAATTTATTCTTGCTTTAGCTACAAGTGCCGCGAAGACTTTTGCGTGGACGTGCGGCAAATCTTTGACAACTGTGAAATGTTCAATGAGGATGATTCGCCAGTGGGCAAGGCGGGTCACGGCATGCGCAAGTTCTTCGAGTCGCGCTGGACAGAGCTCACAGACAAGCACTCCTGATACTCTACTCAGACGCAGTCAAGTCCAGCCGCAGCTGCAGCAACTGGAAGTACAACAGCAACAATAACAGCAGCAGCAGCAGCAGCAGCAACAACGATGGCGACGGCAATGCAGCCAACAGCAACAGCGCAATTCTGGTAGAGATCGGGGCAGGGGCGGGAGAAGTCAGCTTAGCTATAGAAATTGTATATACCGGAAGATAAACCGTAGTAGGGGGCTAAGCATAAGTATGTAGCGATTGTTTGTATTATTACGCATTATATTAAAACAAATATACATACACATACTATATAGGGACAGAGAGAGATAGAGAGAGCAGGCAAGATTCAACGTCCTAGGTTACATGCAAAGATCTTCGATCTGTGAATATATCTGCAGCAGCAAACCGACAAGAACTCGTAAGCAGCAACAGCAGCTAACTAACTGTAGACTACAACTACTAAATTGGTAGAAGAGCTGACTAAGCTAAAATGAAGAGTCATGTGTGTGTCTATGCAACATTTGAACAGTATTTGCGCACAAAGCTGCTTTTGCTTTGTTATTATATTATTTGAGTTGGATTAATTTAGTTGTTCGGATTAGTAGTTAAACTGTAACTGTAAACGTAATTGTAACTGTAACTGTAACTGTAACATGTAACTCTTAACTGTAATTCTAACTATACCTACCTACTATAAATATAAACCCTATGCTTTATGGTTTACCCTATTGTATTTGATTTGTTAGAAATCACAGGAGCGCTCATTTAAGTTTTAATTTGTATCTGTACTTATATGAATATATATTTAGTGAAACATTCAATTGTATTTATATATGTATATCCTCATATATATACATAAAAATGTGACCCAAAACCTTAATCTAAATCTAAACTTACCTATAACATACTCAAAAGGTAGATGGCCGCATTTTGTAAATGAATTCAAAATTAAATTAAATGAATACAACATTTGTTTATTTCAACAACAACATTTATGCTTTTACATTCAAATGTTTTTGGCAGAACGCATAATCGTATAGTATACAGTATTAAAGGAAGCACACACACACACACACACGCCAATATTTATGAATAAAAAATTATAGAAACAAAATAAAAAAGAAATTTAAGGCAATTTTACAGCTTAGCTTAGAGACGATATAAAACGAATATGAACGTGGCATATTAGGAAGCTGCAGCTGCAGTTGCAGTTGCAGTCAATTGCATAAAGCACAATTTTTAGCTGTAAATACAAGAAATTTAACAGAAATGAATAAATAAATGAAATATTAAACAAATTATACATAATCTCTCGAAACACACACAAAATCAATTTAAATATACACAATATATAATATATATACATATATATATACATGAGAATATTTACATAATGTGAAATTTTCAATAAATTTATTATTCATTTGCAGTGCCGCACAATAATTGAATGAGAACAAGAAAGAACAAATAAAAGCAAACAAAAAAGAAAAACAAAGTTGACATAGAACAAAGCGAATCCTAAGCAAGTTGAATCGAAGACAAATCAAATCTGTTTCGATTCATTCACAATAGCCAGAGCCACAGACAGAGAACCTCAGCAATCGAAACTACCTAAAGTAAACAGAAATTGGTCAAAGCAATATATTGGATATCCAGTGCCCATTTTAAGCCAGGATTAATACCATGTAAATAGTTAGCTTCCCACTTGATGATGATGATGATCCCCTCACGCTTCCCAGTCCCCAATCATCCTAATGTATATACTTTTTTGGCACCCGCTCATATCACACGCACTCACACATACAGTCACACACTCACAACTGACAGACGCAGCCCATCATTTATCCCAGTATCTATATAGCATATACACATAGTATATATAGAGCCTGATTTGTCGACAAACAATAACTGAATCGCATGTGTGTTGTTGTTTTTGGTGATACATAACAGAAATACATTTATTTTTAAAGCGTATTTAACTACAAATAATTATTAAAAAATATCTTAACATATACAAAAATAAAAAAACAAAATTAAAAAAAAAAACTATTTAATGATGGAATATTTAAACATATGATTGTGAGCAAAACAAAAAGTATTTAAAGAACATAAAAAAAACCGCAAAAAAACTTACGATAAATCGAAGATGGATCATTAAAAAAAAGTAATTTTGACATTTGTGCACTCATGGAAAACAAATACAACTAAATAATATCAAAAATGTATCCTGATGAGTCTTTTACTTAACTAAGGGTTCTTGGCTTTTAGAATCGAAATATAATCAGATAGGTAAAACAATATAAATGCTAGTATGCTTTGGGTATTTAGATTTTTTTTTTGGATGTGCTACATATTTAGTTCGTTTGATCTTAGTTTTCAAGTTGAGGGTGATCCAATAACCCTTACCTAATCGTATTTTCATACCATAGATGTTTATATACACATACAAAACTCGTTTAATTTTTTAGCTTTGTTCAGCCTTCAAATACATATTGTTTTGATTTAAACTGATATTATAGCTTTGTCGAATTTCCTGTAAGGTTTTTCTTTCTTTATGAAAAATATTTTTAACGCTTTGCTTTGTTTGAAAAAAGATGGTATTAACAATCGTCGAGAATACTTACGCATCACCTATTATGAAAATAAATAATTGGATATATATTTACAAGAGTATGACTATAAGAATATGTAATTTAATTTTAATAATGGCTGATGAGTTGTTATATAATATCGTATATAATATCAGTGAATATTGTAATTGACATGGAACATTTTTTGCAACAGCCTTTCAAGTTAATTTGAACTAAGATTTTAATATTGATGTTTAAGGAAATAGTAATATGAGTTCTGAGTTTCTCATATTTTCTGGTTGAGATATTGACAATTAGGCGGATATATGGATAAAATATACTTCATAAAATATATACCAGCTTCATATGACCAGCCACGCCTGCTGTTACATGCAATTAGTAGCTCATAAGGAGGAAGCAACCATGCCTACTCTTGCTGCAATTATCTTAACATGAAGTGGAAATGTAAATGCATCCTTCAGAATTCCGTTTCTTCTGCCTGCGGATGCCTGATCTGGCAGTCAGCCAACTCAACGTCAGACAGGGGATGTTTTGACCGCAAGCTCCATCAAGTGGTAAGACTCGAGCCCCATTGCAGCTGATTGGCTGGTGCAACACGTCATTTACCGTTGCTGTGTTGCATGGATGCGCTTGTTTGATCAATGGTCATCCGATGACCGGATCGCTCAAGATCTGTTCAATGGCCATAATCAAATGAAATGCATGACAATTACAAATTTGCGAGTTGTTGGTTTTGCAAGCGCATCAAAAAGTTACCACAACTGTCAGTCGGGGCCCTGATCACTGGCCATGTCGGATCAGAGCAGCTCTTGCAACTGGTCAATTGGCCTGAGCGAGGGCTGGCCAATCAGTCAGCTGAATCGCAGTCGCCATGGCCAAGTGGCATGTGGCAACTGCAGCAGAAACTCAGCCAAGCTCTGGCAGCTGCAACTGTAAATCAAAATATTTTATTTTTTCTGTTCATCTTTTTCGTTTCCTTGGCAATTTGCCGAAAAATCAATCAATTTCGGCTTCAATTTAGTTGTGGAGCCTCATAAATCTACATTTTGTATATATCCGCATATGCTGACAGATTGGCAATCAAAGGAGCCTTTCCCGAACTTTTATGTAGGTGCGATTTTTACTGTGAAATTTGGCCGCACATAAAATGTTAGTGTGGGATTCAACGGTGTGTGGGAACAGCGGCCCCTTTAGGTGTTAATACGCTGCCCTTTTAACGATCCACAAATACACATACACATACACATACATATATATGTTCATATACACACATACACATAATCCGGAACAATCAGCTTTTAAAAGCCGACAACCTGCGCACGCAAACGACTCATTAAAAGCGGAGACATTTTCGTATATAAGTTTGTAAGTAAGAGACTACCTCTACATATACATATATATATATATATATATAAATCTCTATATGCATACCTATATCTGTGCATATATATATATATATATAGAAGTTTATATATGGAACTGGGGCCTGTGCTCTGGCCAATGCCAATGCCATTGACAGTTTGAAAACTGGAAACTCGAAACGCTTTAAAAATCACTGATTTATGTAATTATTCGGAGCGGGACAAGAATTTCGTGCACGTCTGCATTATTGTTGTTGTCTGGGAGAGCTGAGCCGAAATCACAACACAAACTACTGATCAGCTAATAAATACCTTCTAGGTATTGAATACCAACAGCAAATTGAAGAGATCATGATAGAGAAATTATATATAATATTATTATTATTATTGTATTATAAATAAAAGATTTTTTTTTTTTGAATAATTTAGAAAAAAAAAAATTTAGAAAATGAGCTTACCAATAAGTTTTATGTTATATAAATTTTAAATTTTCATTGTGATATATTTAAATATTCTTAAATTCTATTTTTTGTGCAGTTTAGTATTTCTTATTTTTGAATTTTATATATTTTAATTTTCTGATTCCTTTATAAAAATTTAAATTAAATTTAAAAAAATATATTTTAAAATTTGTAATATACACATTTTCATATTTAATTTTGTTATACTTAAAGTTTATTTCTAAAAAAAATGAAATACCAACAATTTTTGTGTTTTATTAATTTTAAATTTTCATATTGATACATTTTGATATCCTAAAATTATAATTTTTGTGCATTTTAGTGTCTTTATTGTAATTATTCATATTTTAATTAATGTATTATTTCTTTTATTTCTTTTATTTTATTACTATTTATTGTTGATAATTTTCACAATATTTTCATATTCAATTTTCGTAGGCTTTAAGTTTATTCGTAATTATTTTGTTTTTGTAGATTATAAAATGTATTTTTTATAATATTTGAATTATTGAATATGTCTGTAACTTATGTATATAACATATTTATATTTAAATTTTTAAATAGCATGCTTGCCTTGCCCTTTTTCTGGGCAGCTTGTTATAACCCCTTAAATTGAACAGCTTAGGGTATAAATGCGACGACAACAGATGTAAGAGCCACGGACCAGGCG